TCCAATGTTTTGTCACAGACGCTCAGGAAATGCTCATTCCTGTTCCGACATGAAACGAAATCCCTATTCCACAAAGAGACGCCTCTATAGGAATGATTTTCCTAGCTTTGTTTGAAGGAACTGCATAACGCCTTAATCCAGTGTACACCTTTGGGATGGGCTTACATTGAGACTATGAACCTTACCACCCAGCATCAGTGCTTGACCTCAAAATCTTCTGGAGCAAAAGAATGGGAGCCATAATGTGGGATTAAGGAGCAGAGTTCAGACTCTTGGATGGAGTGCGCAGGTGTTCACACACACACACACAGCTCACATTCTTTTGACTGTGTGGTGTAAGATCCCATGGCAGTCAAACTTGGAACAGTGCATGGGGAAGTGGTAGTAACATCAAAAGCAGCATTAATTCTGTGTTTTCTTGATGTTTTTAAGTCTGTTTCCTCTTATTGCATCAACACAAATCTCAGTCAGACAGTGGAACCTCGGGCTGTTCTCTGCTGTGTAGCATCTGGGGAGAATCACTAAATGTGAGTGTATGACAAGAGTGTGTGTGAAGATCTGTGTCGCATTCAGCTCATCTTTGAAAACAAGAAATAGTTTAGTTTATTTTTTTCCTTTTTGCATTACACCACACGTTTGTTTACCAGGTTCTTATTTCTGATAACATGGTTTACAGCAGCCGTTGCCTCCTAAAACAACATAGATGGTGTGTTGAGCTCTGCAGTTTTACTTTGGGTATGTCTGAAGATTGAGTTGTATTGAGATGAAAATCTGTGAGTCAGAGATGAGAGAACTTAAACAGGATGACACAATATGTATGTTGTTGTTTTTTGGTAGATTTATTTATTTAGCGTTTTCTGTCAAACACCTGATTCAGTCGTTTTTCTATAATCTACAGCAGTTCTGATCTTTTGAAGTGAGGTTCTGTTAGAAAAAAATCCATGAACAATTCTATCTTGCATCAAAGTTCATGCTCAATAATCCAAGTAAAAATCCCACAATGTTCACAATGTTTTTTTTATTTTTTTATGAGACGTTTCATACTTCATCCAAAGGACTTCTTCAAATCTGAGGAGTCACCAAACAAACTGAGTCCCACAAACAGCACACTCCCATGGTGGAAAAAAAAAAAACAGTTTGCTGGGGATAAGATGGCCTCCGAGGTCCACCCTCTCCCCCATCAACTCCTCTGAGGCAGGCATGCCAAAGTGGTTCAAAACATCAAAGTTCATGCTCAACAATCCAGGTAAAAATCCAACAATGTTCAGTCAGGTCATCTGGGCCTGAAAAAAGAAACCGTCCTCAGTGGGACTCAGTTTGTTTGGTGGCTCCTCCCATTTGAAGAAGTCCTTTGGATGAAGGATGAAATGTCTCAGCAAAAGAAGATACTATTTTACATGTTGAAGAAAGCCATTTCAATGGTCCTAGTTGGAGAAACAGAATTTAAGTTTACTTGGATTAATGAGCTGATAACTAGTCTGAGCAGGACAATGGACAATAGAAGATTTCTGCTAATTTTCAAAATTTCACAACTGTTTGTGCACTGTTTTTATTTTTATATACAACACGTAAGATATAAATTGTTCATAACTTTTCCACAAAACCCACTTCAAAGGTTTGAACCATCCCTTTAACATATTTATTGTCTCCCCCTCCCCCATGCTGTCACGTAGTTTGTCTCACTTCTGCAAATGTCAAACAGTGACAGCAGAGAGGGCTTTGCCGCTCAAATTCAATACATTTCTTGAAACAATAGGTCCTTGATTTCACACAGATGTTGACAAAGGCAGGCTTACAGTTTCAAAGCTTCCTGTATCTTCATGATGTTTACCAGTTGTTCCGTCTCTGACACAAATAACATTACTGCCGTGCCTTCTGTCACAGCCGGTGTAGCGTCTACAAAGCTGGATCTCACATTCGGCGGGTGTAATCTGACGTCTTTGATGTGTGAGATGAGATGCAGACCTTCAGATGGCCAACTCTGAGCAAGACGTACATGTGATAAATCTATTTTTATTAGGTACAGACACAGATACAATAATGCCCTCCTTTGGTAATTAAGAGTATGCTTGTTTCAGACATCTTCCAGAATTGACTTTTTTTTATAGTACAGTATCTATGACTCTAAGGTTCTGATCTTTGATACTCTTGGTTTCAATTGCTAAGCATAACAATTCCTTTGTTCATTTTAATTCCTTACCAAGTTGTGTTACGTATCTTCCCCTTAACACAAAGTGCAATAATTTGACACCGATCTTATTATCGCAACAGAGACTTTTATTGTGATCTTGTGCTTTAATTGAGTCTAACCCTCCCAACTTTTCTTTATTCCTAAACTGTCAATCAAACAAGTTCACTAGTTCTTTTTTTGCTACCATTACTTTTAATATTATTTTTTGCTTTGGATACAAGATTTAGGCTTTTTTTATAAAACAGTTATGGAAAATAACCACACAGACTAGTCCGTCTTTTTGTTGCCTCTGATTGCTCAAAATTACAGATGGAACCAGCTACATCGTTCATAGACAGGCGTCGCTATAGCATGGGCATGAAGCACAACACATTACATTTGTGACTGATGTCTCTCTCCTATTATTTTCAAAATATATTGAATTAAGTCGGTTTAGCAATTCTTTTTGGGGTTATCTATTTTTTGAGCTGTATCTTCCTTCAACTTATCCACCTGCTGTATAGGAAATTTTCACCCAAAATCCTGTGGGTGTCGTAATGTTTCCTGCCTATCAAACTGCCATGTTTAACATTTTGGTTAGATGCAATTAGAGTAATGGCAACAAAAGTCCTGTTTTTGTGAAGGCTGCTAGTAACAAAGGGTAATTTGGTAAAACTGATGTTTTCTAGGTTGCCTGTTACAACACTGTTTCAATTCTGTGTGTGTTTTTAACCCCGTGTTCATCGGTCGGTTTCAAATGGGTGAATATTTATCATTCAAAATTACATCACTGGTAATCTAAAAATTGCTAAAGGACTAAAGTAAGAAAAATCAGCAAAAAGTCTGACAAAGCCCAAAACTACATAAAAAGATTTATAAGAATGTTTTCATTTTTTTTAAGCATAGTTTAGCTGTAAAGACAGCAGAGTTGTCACAGTTAGATTATTACCCCACCCCACCCCAATTTATAATAATTTAACTTTCTCATATCCCGCTACTGTAAACAGAATATTTTGACATTATTAATAAGGACAGAGATTATTTTGTAAACCGTTTTAAACCACTCATTTAGAAAGAGAATTGAGAGAACTTACACCGGGAGATTTGCAACATTTGCTGCAGCATAAATTTTTAGTTCATCTATTTATTTATTTAACTCATAATGTCATATATCTGTTGAGGGTGCGGGTAAATGGAGCAGTACATGTCTCTCACTGACATGTGATAAGTGAGACACCGCAGACCCCGATTTTGATGAAACTCCAGGGAGTCATGCTTCACGCAGGTCTGGCATTTTCAAAATTACTCTGTTTGGCCCACTGTAGGAGCAGCAATTACCTGGCAAACATTTTAATAACCAGCCATATCTCACATACTGCTGAGGGGAATATCCAGTTACCCATGCTCTACAAATTACTCTCAAGGGCCAACACATTGAAACACATTAGATTTATTACTGCTTTAGTTGTTTTTTTTACCTGTTTCCTTCCCCCTTTTTTTTTTTCTAATTTACTAGTCCAGGTCACTACCTTCTTTGCTCTCTTCGTTTAATGTATCATGATAATTACAATGATGGCCAAATGTCAAATAGTATTTATTTATTTTTGTCTTAAATCAAAACATGTTAGAAAAGATGGATTTTCAGCCTCTAATATATATATAAAAATTGAAGCTTAAACCTTTAAGGCTAAGGTTTGTGGGGGGTAGTTATCTCATTATTTCACCACTGTGGCACTAATAATAGACATCAAATCTTTTAATGATCTGCAGGGGCCTCAAAATGCATTTACTTTGTAGTGTCCTTAAGCAAGACTTTTATGTTAAAGACACACCTGTCAGCTAATCTTTTAATTAATACCTCTGTCAGGCTACAATAGTGTAAATAAATCACCCAGTTCCCATGGGGCTTGTGCTTTCAAGTTGAAATATGTGAGCAAAATACAAAAAGTAGAAATATAGATAGCTCAAGTGTAGCAAGTTTTATATCATATTGCACCTCTAAACAAGCTGGTACATTTATTGGAAATATAATATTTATTTATCTGATTTTTGATACATTCAATATGTACACATTATGCAATATTAATTTACTATATTAATAACTTTTATAATGATTGTATTGCTTTAGGTCATGGTGAGCTTAACATTATGACAGTATGGAATTACAATTTGGCAGCACAACGGCTCAGTGGTTAACACCGTTGCCTTACAGCAATAAGGTCCTACGTTCAATACCTGGTTGGACCTGGGGTTTTTCTGTGTGGAGTTTGCATGTTCTTCTCGTGCTTGCATGGGTTTTCTCTGGGTACTCCAGTTTTCTCCCACAGACCAAAAACATGCATGCTAGGCTGCCTTCAGGCCCAAGACTCAAATGCAAAAGAGATCTGTGATCTCAGTGGGATTTGCCTAGTTAAATAAAGGTTAAATAAAACAATAAATCAATCAAATCATTGAAGTGGAATGATCTACAATCATTCCACTTCGATATTATACTCATTTTAATGTGACTCTGCAAGAAAAGCAGCAGAGTTCATGGTTCATAATCTTATTTTGTGCAAGTCATTTGAATGTTATAGACACTGTGATTAATTCCCAGGGAATCCTTGAGACATGCTTATCTTCTGTGACTCCTTGGCATCTCTACTGGCAGCTGTCCTGGTTCATCTCAGCTGGGTTCTGATAAGCACTAGCTGAGGCACAAAGCAGGGGGGAAGGCCCTTGATGAGTTAGCAGCATTAAAGACAAGTTTACTGCTTTGTATTGATTTTTGCTTTAAGAGCTTAGTCAAGGAAGTGTCTCTATAACCTTAAATGGTGTGTTTATTTTACAGAACATCCCAGCGCTACCGTGTGGTAAAGCCCTCTACTCGTACGAGGGCAAAGAACCGGGGGACCTTCAGTTTTCCAAGGGTGACATCATCATCCTGCGACGCAAGGTGGATGACAACTGGTACCATGGCGAGCTTAATGGGAGTCACGGTTTCCTCCCAGCAAGTTACATCCAGCTGCTGCGGCCACTGAGTCAAACCCCACCCCAGGGCAAAGCGCTGTATGACTTTGAGGTCAAAGACAAAGACCAAGACAAAGACTGTCTGGCCTTCAGCAAGGTAACACACACACAGTGCACACAAAACCCTAAAGACAGCGTCATTAAATAAGATGCAGCATAAATAAGGAATTATTGGGCAGGAATATAAATAATTTAGTAGAAGAAACACACCTACCTGTCACTTTATACAAGACTAATGGGTTGCTTGTTTTACTAATAATTTATTTAATCTGACTCTTTGCTGCAAAATGGATTTATAATCTGTACACAGTTAAAGCAAATTATTTAGCTTAATTCAAATTGTTAACTGTGAAATACTATGATTTTTTTTTTTTTTTGCCATACAGTGATGTGATGAGTTGTTTGTAAACACTTTGACAACTGTCAGATTTGATCATGTTATTTTGTTTTTAAACTAGCGTGACAGCTTAAAATTAATTTTCAGCAGTGTTTTTTTTGATGTGATGTATTTCCTGTGTGGAGATAAAATAACTCGGAAGGAAGATGCTCATTACCACTCTCCATGAGGGTTTAGCTCAAGTTGAATTTAAGACAAATGCAGATTTATTTATTTTTCAGGGTTGGGGATTGAGGAGATTTTGACAGCTGATTCTTTTTCTGTTCTTACATATAATTTATTTAGTATGTTTGGTTTAATTTTGATGCCATTATTGTATTTATGCATTTTCTGAGTCTAAAAGAAAAATCTTTAGTGTGATGTAACATTTTCATTTGCATCTGCATGCCTTTTAAAGTAGGTAATGAAGTGGCTGCAGAACAGAAGATTAAAACCCTTCCACAGCAGAGAGTCTCTGGTTGGATGTGAATGTCATATTGAATGTATTTTTAAAAACAAAGGGAGAGGAGAGATCTTAACTTTCTCTTCCATCCTGTTTATGAGACCTCAAACAAGAAACCAAAGTGTTATTTTGTTTGTACAGTTTATCGTTTATTTTGACATTTTAAACTGACTCCTCCGTGCTGAACTGAGTGCTCAAGACCTTCACTCTTACTGTCACTGCACTCTGAATATTTCCTGCAGCAACAGGAAGAGAAAGGTTATTATTTTTGTTCTGAATTATAGTCTCTGTTGCAATCATCCTAAGACAAGTCATCCAGATGTACAAGATAATGATAATGATCAATAAGTCACTTTATTTCACATCTTTGACTTGAGCTAATCAACAAGTCTATGATCGAAGATTGCATTAAGCCGTAAACGCACACAGAGACACATGGTGTGCTTTATTTGTGTTGTCATGCAGAACCAGTGAGTGTGATATTGTTTTCTCAGTGTGAGGGGTAATTACTCAGTATGACTAATATACAGCCATTTAACAGCATTATAGCTGCCATCCTGTAATGACCTAAAGTAAGACCTTGATGCGAGGAGAAAAGCAGCAGTGTGTGGGTGGCTGTTGTGAACAACAGAAAGATTTTTGATCCTGAGTAAGCAATAAGACATGCTAATTCATACCTTTATCTTTAAAAATATACACAGCTTGGATGTTATATCTATGACTGATATCTCAAGTAAATAATAGCTCATAAATCCCTCTTTTTTCAATGAGAGCTATTAAAATGGGATAGAAAAATAGATGAAAAATATAATAAATACGGTATTTAGTTTAGCATTTTTCCTGGGAATCCTCCCTGCCTCTCATTGCATCATGGGTTAAAACTAGGGGTGCACGTTATTGGATTTTTGGCCGATTTCCAATATGTCGATATGCCAATATGTTAAAACGCATTTGACCGATAACCGCTATCAGTACTGATATATATTTTTTTCCTAGACCTACTTACAGAGACTGCATAGCTTTCTCTGCTGTGGAATTAAAAATTTACATTTTTCTTTTTCATTCAACCTTTATTCGTTCAACCTTTATGCAGGTTAGTTCCCATTGAGGCTTGAGGACTCATTTACAAGAGAGACCTGTTATTCTGCATGGTCTTTGTCAATTTGGCCTGCTACCAAAATGCAGATGCCAAAATGGGGCTGAAAAGGATATA